GGTGGACCTAACAGACATCTGTAGAACACTCCACCCAAAAGCAGCAGGATTCACATTCTTCTCAAGTGTACAGGGTACATTGTCAAGAATAAATCATATACTAGGCCACAAAAAGAGCCTCAGTAAATTGAGAAGGATTGAAATTGTACCAACCAGCTTCTCAGACCACAAAGGTATGAAAGTAGGAATAAATTATGCAAAGAAAACAAAAAGCCCACAAACACATGGGGACTTATCAAAATGCTCCTAAAATAATCAACAGATCAATGACCAAATAAAATCAGAGATCAAGCAATATATGGAGGCAAATGACAACAATAACTCAACACCACCAAATCTATGGGATGCAGTGAAGGACATGCTATGAGGGAAGTACATTGTAATACAGGTTTACCTCATAAAAGAATAACAATCCCAAAAGAACAGTCTAAATTCACAATTAATGAAACTAGAAAAGAACAAATGAGGCCCAAAGTCAGTAAAGGGAGGGACATAACAAAGATCAGAGCAGAAATAAATAAAGTCAAGAAGAACAAAATAATAGAAAGAATCAATGAAACAAAATAGAGGAACCCCTAGCCAGACTTACCATGAAAAAAAGAGAGTATACACACACAAACAGAACTAGAAATGAGAAAGGAAAAATCACTATGGACACCACAGAAATACAAAGAATTATGAGAGAATACTATAAAAATTTATATGATAACAAACTGGATAACCCAGAAGAAATGGACACTTTCTAGAAAAATATGAACTTCCATGACTGACCCAGGAAAAAACAGAAGATCTGACCAATTACCAGCAATGAAACTGAACTGGTAATCAAAAAATTACCTGTGAACAAAATCTGTGGACCAGATGGCTTCAATGCTGAATTTTATCAAACATTTAGTGAAGACCTAATACCCATCCTCCTTAAAGTTTTCCAAAAAGCAGAAGAGGAGGGAATAATTTCAAACACATTCTATGAGGCCAGCATCACCCTAATACCAAAACCAGGCAAAGATAAGACAAAAAAAGAAATTACAGACCAATATCCCTGATGAACATAGATGCAAAAATACTCAACTAAAAATTTGCACAGTGAACTCAAATATACGTTAAAAAGATCATCCATTATGATCAAGTGGGATTTACTCCAGAGATGCAAGGATGCTACAACATTCAAAAATCCATCAACATCATCCACTACATCACGCAAAAGGACAAAAGCCACACGATCATCTCCATAGATGCTGAAAAAGCATTTGACAAAATGCAACACACATTCATGTAAACACTCTCAACAAAATGGGTATAGAGGGCATGTACCTCAACATAATAAAGGCCATATAAAACAAACCCACAACCAACATCATACTTAACAGTGAAAAGATGAAAGCTTTTCCTTTAAGATCAGGAACAGGACAAGGATACCCACTCTCCCCACTTTTATTCAACATAGTTACCCAAAAAACTAAAAATAGAAATACCATTTGACTCGGGAATCCCCCTCTTTGGAATTTGCCCAAAGAATACAAGTTCTCAGATGCAAAAAGACATATGCACCCTTATGTTTTTCGCAGCACTATTTACAATAACCAACATATGGAAGCAATCTTATTTTCCTTCAGTAGATGAATGGATAAAGAAGAGATGGTATATTGGTGTGTGTATATATATATATACATATATATATATAAAATGGAATATTATTCAGCCATAAGAAGAAAACGAATCATCCATTTCCAACAGCATAGATGGAGCTAAAGGGTATTATGCTCAGTGAAATAAGCCTTGTGTATAAGGACAAGTAGCAGAAGATTTCACTTATTTGTGGAGTTTAACACCAAAGCAAAACTGAAGGAACAAAACATCAGCTGACTCACAGAACTCAAGAATGGACTAACAGTTACCAAAGAGAAAGGGACTGGGGAGGGTGGAGGGGAAGGGAGGGATAAGGGGATTAAGGAGCATTATGATTGTCATGCATAATGTAGGGGGGTCATGAGGAAGGCAGTATAGCACAGAGAAGACCAGTAGTGACTTCATAGCATCTTACTATGCTGATGGACAGTGACTGTAATGGGGTATGCAGTGGGAGACTTGATCATATAGGTGAACATAACAATGTTGCACATGTGAAACCTTCATAAGAGCGTCTATCAATGATATCTTAATAAAAAAAAGTGACTTTAACATTCAAGTGACTTTAATACAATGAAAAAGAAAGCCATTATGAAACATCATTTCTGCAGCAGGTGTAAAAAACCACTTTCTACCAAGTCACACAGAGGCACTGGCGTCATCAGTCTCCGTATGTGATGGAAGGGAAAATTCAAGAGTTAGTGGTTACATCCTTCTTTTTTGGCTGATCAGCAGGTCCAGGATACCTCACTATGTCTCCTATGTCAGCTTATTACGTTAAGTCCCCATTAACATGATAAAAATAGAGACAATACTTTCCTCCTTTACCAACTGAAATCGCATTTTGACTCATCTGTGTCTGCTGTCTCAAGTCCCAATCCTCCCAGTCCATCCTCCCCATTGTCATAAGAGTACAAACCATTGGGCTTGTAATAACCTCATGGTTAACTCCTGGCTTTGTATGCTAACCTCCAGAATTCTAATATATGCTTATCTATTTCTCTAAATTCAAAATTCAACTAAGGTAACCTAGTCACACAACTTCCTTAATGTTAGTCACTTATTCACATTCTACCTTCTGTTAATGCCATTTCCTCTGAGTAAACACTTTCCTTTCTTGCCACTACCAATCCAAATTCAGTCTCCCCTTCAAGACTCCAAATAAGCTCTGCCCCCTCCAGAAAGTCTTTGGTGGATCATACTAGTTCACACTGGTATTTCCCCTTATCTGAACTCTACTCTTTATTTTTTGCATACATGGACACTTAATCGAGTAAAATATTAATTATCATTTAATATATATGTTTCTTGATAATTCAATGAGTTTGCATATTCTTTGAAGTCAGGGTTCATTTATTATACTAGTTCATTACTCTAACAAAGGTTAAAATATGGTATAAAATAATTTTTTGATTATTGCTATTGAGCACCTGATGTAAAGCCCTGATGGAATTATAACTTGGAGGGCCAAATATAATAAAAATATATATTGCCACTGTGATCTCTACATGAATATTTATTTTAAAACCAAAGTGAAATTTTTTTCCTTTTCGCTACTACATTCTAAAATGATAATACCACATCTATATTTGAACAACTGCTCCTTTAATTAATTCCTAGAGTTTGGGTAGTTAAAAAAGCACTCAAGCTTCATATCTGTGGCTTAAGAAAACAGCCTATCACTACAAGTACTTTGTTATTATGCACATTTCAGTGCAAATAATTCACACATTTTAAAATATCCAATAGATTTCTATGAAGTTGTATTTCAATTTCCACATTTTAGTCATATCCCATGAAAAGACTGTTTCAATTTAGATTTAGAAGTTATGAACAAAGGCATATCATAAAGGAGTCAAATATTTTCTCCAAATAAGACATACAAATGGCCAACAGGTGTATGAAAAGGTGCTCAACATCATTAATCATTAGGGAAATGGAAATGAAAACATTAATGAGATATCATCTTACAACTATGAGAATGGCTATTATCAAAAAGACAAAAGATAACAAGTGGTGGCAAGGATGTGGAGAAAGGGGGACCTTCATGTACTGTTGGTGGGAATGTAAATTGGTACAGCCAGTATGGAAAACATTACAGAGGTTTCTCAAAAAATTAAAAGTAGAACTACATCATGGTCCAGTAACCCCACTTCTAGGTATATACCCAGAGGAAGTGAAATTGGTATCTCAGTGGTATCTGCAAACCCATGTTCAATTGCACCATTAGTCACAAACAGCCAAGATATGGAAACAACTTAAGTGTCTGCTAGTGGGTCAATGGATTAAAAAAAATGTGGTATGTACTTACAATATGCAAGTCCGGGGGGAAGTGTGTTCCCAGCCTGGAGCAAATAAACCAGTGAAACTGGTGGAGCCGAAATCAGTCAAGGGAAAAGACAACGTGTGAGAAACCCATTTATTGGCTCACAGGAAACCTGGCTCCGTTCCTCCCTCTCCTGCAGCTACTCTGGCTTGCTCGTTTCTCTACCATCCAGGGCATGCTCACCTCTCCCCGCGCCCCTTCGCGGAGAAACTCCACCAGTCCCCAGCAACTGACAGGCGCCAGACCAATTACACAACAGAGGGGAGGAGAGAACAGTTTCTCTCCACCCCTTGTCCCTGGAGGCTGCTAGAGGCTGTAGCTGTAAATATGTATTGTTATGTGAAACGACTAAGGCCAGGCAAGAGTTTCTGGAAATATTGCAATTTTTACCCACACAATAGAATATTATTCAGTCATAAAATAGAGGGAAATCCTGACATTTGTGATGACATGGATGAACCTGGAAAACATTATGCTAAGTGAAATAAACCAGACACAGAAAGACAAGTATTATATAATTTCAATCATATGTGGAATCTAAAAAGTTAACTCATAGATTATTACATAAATATCTCATATACTTATTTATAATAAATATCTCTGATATTTATAACAACTCAATATCAGAGAGTAGGGTGATGATTGCCAGGGGATGGGCATGGGAGATGTTGGTTGCAGGGTACAAGCTTTCAGTTATCAGATGAGTAAGTTCTGGGTAATGTAAAGCATAGTCATTATAGTTAATAATATACTGAATTATATACTTGAAAGTTGCTAAGAGAGTAGATCTTAAGCGTTCTCACCACAAAAAATAAAATAAAATGCTAACTATGTGAGGCAATGGATGTGTTAATTAACTTGATTGTGATAATCATTTCATATTGTATATTAAATTATCACACTGTGCACCTAAAAAGTCACATTGTGCAAGCTAAATATATACAATTTTTATTTGCCAATCGTGTCCAATAAAGCTGGGAATAAAAGTTTAAAAAGGGAGAAACTCATAAAACATTTTTAGAATGTATGATATAAAGGCACCCACCTGTATATCTATGTCAAAGCCAATTTCACAAAGAACATTCACAATAATCAGACAATTGTGTAGATACTGTTCAGAACTTTTTGGTTCTGTGTACATATTTACAAAATGAGACTCAATCTGGAAAAGACAACAATCAAATCTTTAGTAATGGAATAAAATTTCTTGCTTTTTAACTTCTCTGTAATTTATCAAAGAGTCATTGAAATATCAACATTTTTCAGTAGATAAGTGCCATCAAAACACAAGAAGAAACAAAAACAGAATGCTAACCATTCAGATTCAAGTGTTAACTTAAAAAACATTTAAAAGAATCAGTTTTGCAGAAAATACTTCCAATTTTAAATATTAAATTCTTTAAAATAATAGGCCACTCTGCATAAAAATAACTTACCAAAAATGGGCAATAGGCTCCCAACTGTGTTGCAAAAACAAGGCCATCTAAAAGGTCTTCATCAAAATTTACTATCCATCTCTCAGAGGGAATAACACCTGTTCCAGAAAAAAAAAGTAAATATAACAATAGTTTTTCATTTTAAAAAAGATACCTTATGAAAATTTGAGCAACAGTCAAATAAATCTTTGCCTTTGTTTACAAAAGAGAAAGCATATTACTCATATTACTTTGGAAATAAATATAAAACTTAAACCTCAGAAGCTTAATGTCATGAAATATATCTGTGAGGTTTTATTGAAAGCTGTCTCCTTTGTTTCTGTTAGAACCATTTGGAAGAATATATTAGCATGCAGCAATGGAAGGAAAACCCAGTATTTCAAAATTACTCATTCTGTTGAGTACCTTGGAGAGCAAATGTTTGATCAACAATCATCAGCATGGATAAAGGAGGCTCAGAAGGCATGGGGTTTCTTGTAACCCTAAAGTTTGAGTGCTAGTTTCTCTATTTGTTGCAGAAATTTCTTCACATGTAGGGTAAGTATGGGGAAGAGGTTAGAGATTTATGGCTTAAAAAAACCCAGAACTGACCTATAAAAGGTAACACAAGATGGAGGAGTAGTTATGCTGATGGGCAGTGGCTGCAGTGGTGAGTGTGTGTGGGGGGGACTTGATAACACTGGTGAATGCAGGAACCACAGTGTTGCTCATGTGAAACCTTCATAAGATTCTATATCAATGATACCTTAATAATAATAATAAAAAAGGAATACATCTCAAGTTCTTAACAGCAGGATGGGACACAAGGAAAAGGGGAGAAAGCCTTTCACTTGTTATTCCAAAATTTCTGTGTAGAATTTTTTTAAAGATGAATTTATCCATGTGTGATAATAAAATTCAAAACTTCAAAAGAAAAAAAGATGGAGCAGTAATAAAAATAATGCTCAGTTATACAAATGACTACTGTGCTGAACCTGGAACAAAAAGTGAAAGTATCTGGACATCTAGTAAATATCTAAGCGACTGTCAGAAATGAGGGAAGGAGGGTGATTTGAACATCAGACATTATTGCTATATTGAGCATAACATTTCCTTTTGTAAAAAGTTTCCAAAAGGACCTCGATTCTTAGTGATTTGAGATGATTTCTTGTGTGAAAACAAGGGGGTGGGGGGAATTGGTGATATGCATAAATCTCAAATCCCTTGATTCCCATTTTCTGTGAAGAGAAACCATGACAAATATGTTCATGACATGTATATTAACCTCACAAACCAGGATCGCTTTACATCTGGAACTGGAAGACTTAGTTTTCTCTGGAACCACAGATGTCTTACTCTTTCATGTGAGATGAAACAGCACTGAACATTTCTACAGGATTTCAATAGCATATGACTACACAACCAGTGTAGCAAAGATCACTAGCCATTTTTAACTAATACAAGCCAAACATTCTGCACTATATTTTCCAAAGTATTTTTCATGACAGAAACCTATGAACAATTGTACACCTGATACAAGGATTTGATACAAAGTAATGATTTTAAAATGCACATTTCTAGTTGGCTGAATAATTATAACCTAAATGTGCTTCTCTTAATGTGTATTTGCCACCCTTGGCTTTTAATAAAAGCAAGGGGTCTCACTTTGTAGCCAGTGTTAGTTTTTCTATGAACAAGAGTAATTCTAACCTTAATTTGAAAAAAGCAATTTAGTAGACTTCCAAGTTGACAGTGAGTCATTTAAGTGTGTACATCGACCATATCCTGTAAATATCGCATCCATCATATACTGATATTAGAGAAGGGATAGAAATTCCCCTTAAGGAGTTTTAACATCTTGTTGAGGAAAGATTACATGCATAAGGAGAAAACAACTAAGGAAAAATCTCTTAACTAGAAACTAATGAACAGAGAACAATAAAGCAAAAACAAAGTTATATTGTTACTTCCAACTCCACCATCTGTAATCTAGCACCACGGGATTCATTACGACCTTCCTCCTTTCCTTATTTCTAACTTTCTGCTTCAACAGTGAAAAACCTGGCTCTCATTATCTACAATATATTTACTTATTTGTCAACCCTAGTATAAAGTGTTCAGAATTGCAAACCTATCCTTGTAGGAAACTACAATAATCTGTGCATGTAGAGTTCCTCCTGTCTTTACTTCTACAGTGTGCAGCCATGACATAGTTTTCAAAAGAGAATTAAGTCAGCCCATCTCTTCTCCATTACTTTCAGTGAGGTTGTGGAACATTTGTAATGCAGCTGGATTCATTTGTCACACTCTGCATCCCATCCTGGATTACTTCTATGTCTTGGTTGATTAAAAAAAAACATATACTAACATTCACTCTTCGTGGTGTACATTCCCAGGATTTTAAGATGCACTGTCATGCATTGACCACATTTTCATATAGAAGTCTTATCACCCCCAAAATTCCCATGTGAATTTTAGAATCAACTTAATATCTACCAAAAAAGTGTGCTAGGATTTTCATTGGGGTTATATTGAATCTATAGAGCAATCTGACATCTTAACTACTATATTTATTCTTCCAAATCCTAGGTATATGGAATATTTCTCTATTTATTTAGTTCTCTTTCTTTCATCAGTGTTTTATAATGTTCAGCACATATACCCTGCACATATTTCATTAGGTTTATACTTACGCATTTTATTCTATGGTGCTATGGTAAATTATATATTGTTCTATTTCAAATTCTACTTGTTTACTGCCATTATATAGAAATATAATTTATTTTTGTATACAGATCATATATCCATACTACAACCTTGATAAATTCTTATACTACTTCTAGGAGCTTTCTTGTAGATTCTTCAGAAATTTCTACTTACTTTCATATGGAATTTAAGCTCCTTTCCCAGGGATAGAGGTGGCTTATTATTTTTTAAGTTTCTTTTTGCAGCTGCCATGAGTTTTCACCAGGGCCCTAAGGACAGTAGTGTGGGTGGTCCTCTAGCCATACAGTAATGCTTTTGTCCTTTACGGACTATGGAAGTCTGCACTGTGGGGGAGCATATTCTCCAGACTCACTACAGTCATTTCTGTGAGTGACCAGTGAGGTTTGTGGGTAAAAACCTGTAAGGGGATACAGACCCTCCCTATAATGGTGGCCCCTAGGGACCTCAGGCTCTCTCACTAGTGATTTATATTCACATTACTGTCTGAGAAGTGTTGGTCTAGAGTTGTTTTTTGTGTGTATGTGAAAGGGAGAGAGAGAAAGAGAAGGAGAGGAACAGGAAGAAGGCAGGAGAGGGAGGGAAGGAGAGAGGGAACCTGCTAATCTAGTCCTCACTTGTCAGGAACCAGAAAATTCAACTGACATTCCATAGATTTATTTTTTAATTTTAATTTGGAAGTTGTATTTTTATGTTTTACATTATATGACTTCAAATATTCAGAAATATTAAGAGTACTAAATGCTGGTCCTAAATAGGATTATGAATTAGAGATAAGACTGTTAATCAGAAAACTGAACCATTTTATGCATTAAAGGAATAAGTACATTCACTTACTTTTACAAAGATCGTAATTGATATATAAACTAAATTCAGGTGATTATAGCAGTACATGTTTATAACAGTTTTATTGATATATAATTGACATAAATTTCACCCAATTCAATTGTCCAATCCATCATTGTTTAGTATATTCACAGAGTATAATCATCACCACTATCTAATTTTAGAGTATTTTTATCAACACATAAAGAAACCCCATACCCATTAGCTGTCTTTCCCCACTTCCCCTTTCTCTCATACACTGGAAAAACTCTAACCTGTTTTCACTCACTAGGGATTTACTTATTCAGAATATGTCATAGAAACAAAATCATAAAATATATGCCTTTTTGTCTTATGGCTTCTTTTACTCAACAATGTTTTCAAGGTTCATCCATGCTGTAGTATGCATCAGTGCTTCATTCCTTTTTATGGCTGAATAATATTCCTCTACGAAAAAATATATATATGCTAAATTTTCTTTTTCCATTCATCAGTTTATGAGCATTTGGGTTGTGTCCACTTTTTGGCTATTATGAATAATGCTGCTATATAAGATTTAACATTTATATAAGAATTTTTGTGTGAACATATGTTTTCAGTTATCTTGAGTATAAATTGATGAGTGGAATCACTGGATCTTATCAATTTATTTTGAACATTTTGAGAAATGTTAAACTGTTTAACATTAAACTGTTTTGCAAAGTGGTTACACCATACTGTAATCTCTTACAATGTATAAGGTTCTAATCTCTATAACTCCTTGCTAATACTTGTTATAGTTTATCATTCTTTCTTAAGTTGGTGTCAAGGGCTAGCTCATTGTGGTTTTGTATTGCATTTCCCTAATGGCTAATTACAGGTGCACACTGGCCATTTGCTTAATATTCTTTTTAGAAATGTCTATTTAGATCCTTTGCCCATGTTGCAACTGGGTTATTTGTTGTTTTACTGTTGAGTTGTGTTTTTTACATATTTTTAGAATAAGTCTCTTGCTAGTAAATGTTACTTTTTTATTGCTGCATCCTTTAAAATGTTCTTTTTTCCTCCTTTTATTATATCAATATGGTGTATCACATTGACTGGTATTTACATCACCAAGTAATTTTGTTTAATCCTTTTAAAATATTGCTGAATTCTCTCTGCTAGTATTTAGGAGGGTTTTTGTGTCTACATTCATAACAGATAACATATTACTTTCTTAATTGTGTTTTCAAACATTTCAGAAATGAAATGTAATGTATGTTTTAATGCAGAAATCATCTTGCTTCTAAAGGTAGTTAAATTATGAAGATACATGAACTCTAATTGTAAGATCAGCCACAAAAATAATTATAAGATCAACCTCATGAGACTGAGTTAATGCATGTAATACTTGGTTGATCTTCCACATAATTGCATCATTAAACTGGAAAAAAAAAAGAATCTGTACCAAGGTAATAGTCACTATGGAGAAAGACTGATTGAAAAAACAAATCAGTTCAACAGACTGGTGGTTGCCATAGGAAAGGAAGCGGGGAAAATGAGGGAAATAGGTGAAAAGGGGAAAAAACAAAAACAAAAACAGGTGTAT